GGTGCAGCAGGGGTGCAGGAGGAAGCTTCCAGAAGTGTCAGGGTGAAGAGGTGGGAGCTGAGAAAGGCTGGCACTCTGCCACTCTGTCATGACCAGGGCTGAGAACTCAGCTGGCACCATTTCCTGGCTCAGCTCAGGAGGGATCCAGGCAGCATTCAGCAAAGGGCCTGTCTCAGGGAAAGCCCCGTTCAGCGGGTCTAGGTAGGGTGTCTTTGTGCTTACAGCACAAGAGTTGTGTCTTGTGACTTGGGGTGTGGAATCTGGTTCCAGCTCTGCCGCTAGTTCATTGGATGGCCTTTGGCAGATGGCATCCCCATCCTTGGACTGTTTTCTCGATGGTAAAATGGTGGAGTTGGATTAAATCAGAGGTTTTCAATCTGTTTCTTGGAGCCTGAGACTCCACAAAAGAACCTGGGTGGATATGCCAAGGTTGTGGGTTCAGTCCCTGAATCAGGGCACATAGAAGAATCAACCAATGAATGCATAAAAAAGTGAAAAACAAATCAATTTCCTCTCTCTCTCTCTCTCTCTCTCTCTCTCTCTCTCCCCCCCCCTTCCTCTTTTTCTCTAAAAAGCAATAAAAATATAAAATAGCTAGCTTCGGTCTCTGTCAATATTTTCTGTTCTTCATTGTTTTCCCATGTCAGTAATTTCTGCTCATATTATTTGTCTTCTGCTTTTGTGTGTGCGTGTGCGTGTGCGTGTGTGTGCATGTGTGTGTGCGTGTGTGTGCGTGTGTGTGCGCGTGTGTGTGTGCGTGTGCGTGTGCGTGCGCGTGCGTGTGCGTGTGTGCGTGTGCGTGTGTGCGTGTGCATGTGCGTGTGCGCGTGTGCGTGTGCATGTGCGTGTGTGTGCGCGTGCGTGTGTGTGTGCATGTGTGTGTGTGTGTGTGTGTTTTCCATTGATCTTTAGAGAGAGTGGAAGGGAGGGAGGAGCGGGGAGAGAAAGAGAAAGAAACATGGACTTCACATCGACCGGTTGTCTCCCAAACTCACCCCAACTGGGGCTTGGAATTGAACCTGCAACTAAGGTATGTGCTCTTCACTGGGACTCGAAACCAAGACCCTCTGGTCCTTGGGCCAACGCTCTAACCACTGAGCAACCAACCAAGGCTGCTTTTTTTTTCTTTTTTCTTTTTTGCATTTATGCTGTTGTTCATGTTCTAATTTTATGAGTTGCCTATTTAGTCTTTTTTCTTTCCTAATATGAGCATGTGAGGCTATAAATTTTCTTCTCAGTACGACGCAGATGCATCCCACAAATTTTAATATGCTACAATTCTAAGTATTTTCTTATTTCCTTTATGATCTTTCTGACCCAGAAGTGTGTTTTTAAAGCTTCACACCCAGGAAGTTTGTTAGTTATGTTTTGTCTTTTTTATTTAATTTAAATTCTTTATTGTTTAAAATGTTACTTATATTTTTTAAGTTTTTGATTTTTAAGTAAATTGTACTGTGGTCAGGGGACATAGTTCATATGTTACAGATTATTTTAAAATTGATGAAATTTATTCTTCACCTAAGCCTTAGGTAAATAAGGTTACCTTAAACATTTAGTACATTTGCTTGAAAACAATGTGTATCGTCCAATTATTGGGTGCTGAGTTCCACATATGACTATTAGATCAAGCTTGTTGACTACATGTTCAAATCTTACACATCCTATTAATTAGTATATTGTCTGCTTAATCTATCAACTTCTGAAAAAGAAGTGCTAAAATCACTCACAATTCAATTTCACTTTAATTCAATTTCATAAATAGGTACTGAGTAGCTGTTGTGTACCAGATACTATCCTAAGCCCTTATATCAGTGAACAGAATAGTCATATTTTTTTATGTATCTTAATGTCTAGTGGAACAAACAGACAATGAGCAATAAGACATAATAAATAAGTAAGTTATGTAGGGTAAATTATATGTTAGAAGGTGATAAGTGATATGCAGCGAGAGAGAGAGAGAGAGAGAGAGAAGAGAAGAGAAGAGAGTGAGGGGGACCAGAAGAACAGGAGTGTGGTAGGGTAGATAGAAAAGGCAAAATTTGAGCCAAAACTTGAAGAAGGTGAAAGACTGAGTCAAGCATATGTCTAGGGAGAGTGTTCAGGCAGAGGGACAGCCAGTGCCAAGGCTCTGTGGTAGGAGGTTGGACATCAGGAAGCCGCTATGGCTAAAGCTGGTTGACCAAGGGAAGCATGGTAGTAGGGAGGTCAGAGAGGAAACGAGTCCAGAACACATAAAACCTTCTAGGCCATTGTAAGTAGTTTGGATTTTACACTGAATGGAATGGGACCTACGCAGGGTTGGGACAATGGGATGATCTGACATATTTTTAAAGGATCACTTTGGATGTTGTGTTGAAATTAGACTAAAGATGGGTCTTGGTAAAAGCAGGGAAGCCAGTTAATATTGCAGTAAACCAGACAAGAAATAATGACTGATTTTTGAAAAGCCTTAATTAGATCAATTCCTTGATTCATTTCCTAAATAAAGTTTCAACTCTATTCATCTCTCTTGTCTTGTGTTACTGTCATTCACAATTTTACTTCCACTTTGTTTTATACCCTCCAAATCAGTCATTATTATTAT